CTGTCTTGGGTCTGGCTGGACCCTCGCTCCCCGGCGCGTGGAGGGCGGGAGGGGCGGCGCCGGAGGCGCCGCCAAGGCGGTCCAGCGCGGATCCACGAGATCCGCGCGGACCTTCGCGAGTTCATGTTGCTGCAGCTTTGTGCTATCCGAGGGGAGGGAAGAAGAGGGGGGGAACGAGGTGGGGGGGCAGGACCGAGCGAGAGTAAGGTCGCCCCGCGAGGTTCGTCCCGCGATCACTCCGCGGAGCAGCGGAAATCGGCACCGCCACCACCAGGCGCGGGGAGCCGGAGGCGGCCCGTGCGACTCCCTGCTGCTCGTGCAGGAGAGCGGCAGGCATATCCATGCCCACGCCCTCGCGGTCTGGAGTCCAGGGCACGGTCCCGCGCGTTCGCGTGGGTGCGTTCCGCTCGGAACGTCCGCGAAAAAAAACGCCCCGTGTTCATTTGGCCACTTCCTGGTGGCCCAGCCCGCGAGGCCGCGGCTGTGGACGTGCTCTCCGTCCGCGAACGGATTCTTCGTGCACCTCCTCGCGGGAGGCTGCCCGCTGGCGGTTGCGGTGTCGCTCCTCCTCCCCCCGAGCCCAGGACCCCCGGCGTCATGACTTGTTCATCACGTGGACTCCTGCAGATCTCGACCGGATCCCCGGGAACGGTTGCACATCCCGAGCCGCTGTTTGACGGCCCTGGGCCCGGCGAGGGCCCCCGTGGCCGAAACGCAGCAACAGCGTCAAGAACAGCTCCCTCGTGCCCATGGCCTACTACGCGAGGGGGGGATGATCTGCGCCCGCCGCGGCGCCTCTTCGCGATCATGGGGCTGGCCTTCTTGATCGCCAGAAACCTCTGCATCAGATCGTCGAAGCCGGCCGCCGGCTCCGCGGCCTGCGCCAACGGCGGTCCACGGGCAGGCGCTGGCTTGTGTAGGTTCCTCGCTCGTTCTGTGTGTTGCTCATAAACTCAATGTCACTCCCCCTCCTCCTCCTCCTCCTCCTCCTCCTCCTCATCCTCCTCCTCCTCCTCCTCCTCCTCCTCCTCCTCCTCCTCCTCCTCCTCCTCCTCCTCCTCCTCCCTCATCCCTTCCTCATATCTCTCCTCCGTCCTCCACATCCGTCGCGGAATCTCGCTCAGTCCCATTCCCCAACCATCCCCCCCTCAAGGCCAGGCCGCCTGGCTCGAAGCTCGCATTCAGCGTGCCTCCCTTGGGGCATTATGTGCCAGCTGGGCGGCAGGCAATGCTAAGTTCCGGCCCCTTTAGTCAGGACGATTGCTGGACAGCTTATTACAGGATGTGGCCCCCGCATGGCGGCCCCTACTACTCTGACCATGGGAGGGGCAGTGCGGTGGGATGCCTCGCTCTCTAAGGGGGGGGTCCTCGCGACCGCTCCAAGGAGGCGCTGAAAGACGGGCACCTGGACTTGCCCACCTCAGCTACGCCCTGCACTGTCGCGCGGGCGCGGGAGGCGCGGCGGCCGAGTCGACTGCGCTGCCCCATGCCCCTCGAACTTCGATCCCTCTCCTCGTCCTCTCCCTGCATCCTCCAGCCCTTCATCCCCCATTATCTGTCCTACTGCTGCTCGCCATCCTGCTTGTCCCTGCCTCTCCCTCCTCACCTCTCCTCACCCCTCCGCATGCTGCGTCCTCAACCTAGCCTTTCCTCCCCCCCGCATCAGATTCCCTCGCCCCTCTCCCCCCTCTTCATCATTACACCATATGAATACCAACTCTCCCCTCTCCCCTGACTCTGTCCGGAGAGTGTCACATCCTCTCCGCGTGTTTTTTCTTTGAACAAATTACCCCAGTGCGACCCTACCTAGAAGTTGGAACCCCTAGGAAAGCAGCATTAGTTGCTATGTTACGCTATGCTATGCTATGCCATGCTATGCTGCGCTATGCTATGCTATGCTCTGCCATGCTATGCTATGCTATGTCATGCTATGCTGCGCTATGCTATGCTATGCTATGCTATGCTGCGCTATGCTATGCTATGCTATGCCATGCCATGCTGCGCTATGCTGTGCTATACTATGCTATGTTATGATATGCTAAACTGCGCTATGCTATGCTATGATATGCTATGCTATGCTATGCTATGCTATGCTATGCTATGCTGCGCTATACTATGCTATGCTATGCTATGATTGACTATGTTATGCTATGCTATGCTATGCTAATGCAGCGCTGCGCTATGCTACACTAAGCTAAAGCTAAGCTAAGCTAAGCTGAGCTAAACTAAGCTAAGCAAACCCTCTAGGCAGAGCCTAGATAGGGAATTACACCCATGCTAATGCTATGCTATGCTGTGCTCTGCTATGCTAAAGCTCAGAGAAGCTAAGATGAAGGTAAGCTAAGCTAAGATAAACCTGAGCTAAGATGAAGCTAAGGGGGCGCGACTGGGGGAACCGCGGGGCGGGGACTGGGGGAACCGCCCAGGGCGCTTTCCACTGCCCGGCCCCTTTAAGCTAGAGAGTAAGAACCCTTCTAGGCAGAGCCTAGGTAGGGAAAAAACACACAAGATTTCATGATTTGGTTCGTTTCCTATGTTTTTTTCCCGCTGCAGCGCCGCCCTCATTTCCACGCTTCGGTCATTCAAAATCGTGCTCGAGCTGCAGCGCCGTGTTCCCGCGCCCCCGGTTGTTCCAAATCGTGTTCCCGCAGCGGCACTGGCGTGCTCGGTCCTTCCAGCTAGCGCTGCCGCTGTAGCGCCGGCCTCGTTCCAGTGCTGCGGTCCTTCCGAATCGTACCCCGCTGCAGCGGAGGCCTCATTCCCGATTTCGGTCCTGGCCTCGTTCCCGCGCTGATGGTGCTCCCTTTTTGTTTTTCTTGTTATTCGTTTCCTGTTGTTGGTGTTTTTTTGTTTTCCTTCTTAAAAACATAAAAATAAACAAAACAAATAAAAAACAAAAACAACAACAATCTCAATGGTGCTCCCGCTGCGGGGCTGGTCTCATTTCCGTCGGTCCTGGCCTCATTATTCCCGCGCTCCGGGTTCTTCAGAACCGTGCTGGGCCCTCTACCCTCCAAGTCATGCGGTGCCATGCCACATGCAATGCGATGCTGTGCTGAGCACCGCTGTGCGATGGAATGGCTTGCGTTCCTGTGCTTTGTGACGTAATGCTGCACTACGCATTGCCACGCCATGCTCTGACTTGCTATGCTCTGCCGTGCTCTTCTACGCCACGCTTTTCCATACATCGCGTACTCTCTTGGGATCAGTGCCCTGCTCGACATCCGACTGCACGAATAGATAGGAGATCTACGCCATAGTAAGGGATGGGAAGGAGGGGTACTCTATCTCCGTTCTTAAACGTGGGTGATGTAATTTTAACAGAGCTCGATTTTGGGCACCAACATAATTGTCGCCAGCGTTGACCATCATTCTCATCAACATCATCATAGCCTCTATTACTATCCCCATCTTCATCGTCATCATCACCCTTACCATATTGTCCATTCGCCGCATCTGGCAAAACCGTTATCATCATTTCATCATCGTCCTCGTGACATCGTCTTCGCCATCGACATCGCCATCACGATCACCATTATCATCATCACCACCATCACCATCATCATTAGCGACCCTGAAATGGTGCAAAATGTTCGTCGGCCTTTTGGCGACGTAAATTTCGCTGGCGTGAAAATTTGGCCCTGGGACAATTTCCCCTGGTGTGGCACTCCCCACGACGTTTGCCCCCCCCCCCCCCCCCACGTTTACTAAAGGAGATAGAGTAGGACGTCAGATGTGACGCTAGCGCACCTACCTTGTCCTGCCCCCCTCCCCCTCGTCCCCTGCCCCCCTCCTCCCCGCCCCCAGCCACATACAGGCGAGGAGCTGCGCCATTTCGCCCAGAGACGGCCGGAGGGGAGGACCATCCCAAGGCTCTATCCACGCGGACCCCGTTTGCGAATGGCCCCTCCCCGTGTAGACAATGATAGCCCGGTGATGCCCCCCCAGGGGAGTCCCCTGGAAAGGTATCCCCCAATCCCCCCTTGTTTTCTGAACGACCTGATTTCTCAAGAAGAGAAATCGGAAAATGGAGGCGCTGCACCCCCGCGACCCTCCAGTGCCGGAGGCTGCAGCCTCGCAGCGCATGCCGCAGGAGCGGCAAAATATACAGTCTCCTCCTCCTCCTCCTCCTCCTCCTCCTCCTCCTCCTCCTCCTCCAGCTAGAGGCGCCGGAGGGCGCCGGATGCGCCCACGCACCGAGGAGAGCGCACAGCGGCGGGACGGAAGCCGGCTGCAGGCAGCAGCTCCCGCGGCCCCCTCGCCCCGTCCGCCCTCCGACTTTCGTGCGCAGCCCGTGCGATGCTGCGAGTGGATGCGCGGTGTTCGACGGCCGTGCTGCTGTGGCGAACCGTGACCTATGGTCTCCAAGGAGCTCCTTTGGATCGGATGCGTAGACCCCTCCCCTTCCTGGGGGGGCAGCGTTCGGGCCGTTTTTGGGGGGGACCAGCTCCGGGGGGAGAAACATCGACCTGGAATCGGCGACACGTCGCCGATCGCTCGGCGATAGGCCCCAGATAGCGGATCCACACGCTCCGGGGCGGGGTGGGCACCGGGCCCCCCCATCGCCGATCGATGGGCGATCATCGGTTCGACGCGTCCTCCCTATCCCGCCCTGGCGCGCGGCGGGACCCGCCAGGTGCACCCCCCGGGGCCCTCCCCGGCCGAGAGGGGCCAGGGCCACGCGCGCCAGCCCTCGGGCCTGCGCTCGCGGAGCCTGCCGAGCGCTCCGGGCGCAGGGTGCGGGCGAGAATCATATCATCCTCCTCCTCCTCCTCCTCCTCCTCCTCCTCCTCCTCCTCCTCCTCCTCCTCCTCCTCCCTCTGTGCCGTCTTGAGGGTCCTTTTGAAGCCCGTTTGTGCCGTCTTGGGTCCCTCTTGGGCCGTGCTGTGGTCTTCTTGGGGAATCTGGGCCCTCTACGGGTTTTCTTAAGGTCATCTTGGGCCCTCCTGGGGACGTCCCACGGCCCTCTTGTGTCTCTCATGGTAGCCTTTTTTTTGGAGGGGGGGGGACTCCGTCGGCCTCCTGGAATCGGCGCGACGCCGGAGCCTGGTTGGCATCAATTCGCAGAGAAAAACAAGCAGCTACGCGCCTCGCACTGCGGGCGGCGCTTGGCAGATCCAACCTACTGCAACTCAGCGGCGAGCATGTGAAGTAGTGCACGCACACACAGCGCGCTCTACAAAACAGCGCACGCAGCCAAGACGCGCGCACGCGGTCGCCGCGCTGCACTCGGGAGCGCGGGCGGTGCGCACGACGGCTCGCAACCACTGCCGCCGCGACAAACCTCGCAAGCAAACTCGAGACGCGCTGCCTGAGCAAGCGCACCTAAGCTTGACTCCCAGGGGCGGTCCGCTAAAACTCACGAATCGCGGACTTACGCATAGGCTGCTCAAACTGACGGCGAAAGCGTCGCGAAACCAAACCCCGTCTGACCATCGGCACCCGCCAAGTCCAGCCGCCACGCCAGCTATCGGCTCGTGGAGTCCGCAGCGCTTTGGCGAGGATATGGAGGAGCGACATCAGCACAAGGGGGCGAGCGAGCGCGCTCCGTCAGTTCTCATTCGACTGGTGGCCTGCAGCAGGCCGAGGGCGTGCACGCGCAGCCCCACTTCCACAGGGAGGGCCGCGCCGCCCCGCCCTTGAGCCGAAAATGGCGCTATACAGCGCCCGCTCCAGGATGGAAAAACACCGCTTGCGACGGCGATGAACGCGCTGTGCAGCGCCTGCTCCAGGAGGGGGGAGGAGGGGCCAGACGGCCCAGCGGAGCCAGACCCCTGCCTCTCGGCGTTGGATCTCGACGTCCGACTTTCGACAACCTGAGCAGCAGGCAAAAGAGGAATGCAAACGAGGGCAATAAACCATCCGCAGGGAGGGCCGCGCCGCCCCGCCCTCGAGGAGCCGCAAATGGCGGGCGCTATACAGCGCCTGCTCCAGGATGGAAAATTACCATTTGCGACGGCGATGGACGCGCAACACAGCGCCTGCTCCGGGATGGGGAAGAACCATTTGCTCCGGGATGGAAAAGTACCATGTGCGACGGCGATGGACGCGCTATACAGCGCCTGCTCCGGGATGGAAAAATACAATTTGCGACGGCGACTCTATATATAGAGAGAGAGGAAGAATGAAAGATTTGTTTGGGGAAAAGATGGGGGCGAGAACGCTCATCGAACACCCGGTTAACTTAAGACTCGCTAGCGAGATAGACCTAGCGGAACAGTTCTGAGGCGCAAACACCGCCCCAGGGAATGGGGAGGAGAGCGCGAAACCATAATGCACACGAAGACGAGTGGAAGCTCAACGCCTCTTGGATGCAGACTTGCTGGCAGGAATCATACGGGCCTCTTACGCACCGATTAACGTCACATCGGGTTCGGCAGCAGGGGCCTTCGCTTGCACGGCGATGTACGGCACGGACGAATGGTGCAGGAAGATGCGCACCTTACCATCCTCGCAGCGTTTGTAGCCAAAGGTGTATTCGACTTTGGATTTCTCTCCAGTTGTTGCGCAGGTGAAGTAATAGTTGCCCATGGCAATGGCAATACTACTTTTGACTGCGACTTGGTGGTTGTCGTACACGCACTCCGACCAGCCCTTGCCACCATTGATCGCAAAACCGCCGTCCTCAGCGTACCCATTGTCGACAGCCTTGCAGCCGACAAAATAGGACATGGCCTCCTCGGCCTTGGGCCGGAACTGGTGCTGGGCAGCCTTGGTCGGCTTGAAAAGCACATCGTACTTGCCGTAGGCGTAGAGCTCACCAGCTGCGGTAGCAGCGACCTGGACGTAGTCGCCGTTCTCCTTGTAAATCTTCGAAATGTTTTTGATCGCGCCCGCCCATGCGTTCTGCACAGCGATCACATCTTCCCTGGTGACCGCTACTGTGCTGGCCGCCATATTTGCCTTGGGGTCCGCTGCTTTACTGGAGACGGCGTATGGCACGGACGAATGGTGCAGGAAGATGCGAACCTTACCATCGTCGCAGCGTTGGTAGCCAAAGGTGTATTCGACTTTGGATTTCTCTCCAGTTGTTGCGCAGGTGAAATAATAGTTGCCCATGGCGATGGCGACATCGGTCTTGAATGCGATCTGGTGGTTGTCGTACACGCAATCCGACCAGCCCTTGCCGCCGTTGATCGCAAAACCGCCGTCCTCAGCGTACCCATTGTCGACAGCCTTGCAGCCGACAAAATAGGACATGGCCTCCTCGGCCTTGGGCCGGAACTGGTGCTGGGCAGCCTTGGTCGGCTTGAAAAGCACGTCGTACTTGCCGTAGGCGTAGAGCTCACCAGCTGCGGTAGCAGCAGCCTGGACGTAGTCGCCGTTCTCCTTGTAAATCTTCGAAATGTGTTTGATCGCGCCCGCCCATGCGTTCTGCACAGCGATCACATCTTCCCTGGTGACCGCTACTGTGCTGGCCGCCATATTTGCCTTGGGGTCCGCTGCTTTACTGGAGACGGCGTATGGCACGGACGAATGGTGCAGGAAGATGCGAACCTTACCATCGTCGCAGCGTTGGTAGCCAAAGGTGTACTCGACTTTGGATTTCTCTCCAGTTGTTGCGCAGGTGAAGTAATAGTTGCCCATGGCGATGGCGACATGACCATTGAGATCGATCTGGTGGTTGCCGTACACGCAATCTGACCAGCCCTTGCCACCATTGATCGCAAAACCGCCGTCTTCATCGTACCCATTATCGACAGCCTTGCAGCCGACAAAATAGGACATGGCCTCCTCGGCCTTGGGCCGGAACTGGTGCTGGGCAGCCTTGGTCGGCTTGAAAAGCACGTCGTACTTGCCGTAGGCGTAGAGCTCACCAGCTGCGGTAGCAGCGGCCTGGACGTAGTCGCCGTTCTCCTTGTAAATCTTCGAAATGTGTTTGATCGCGCCCGCCCATGCGTTCTGCACAGCGATCACATCTTCCCGAGTGACGTCGGCCTCCGCCGCCCCAACAACGTCGGCCCTCGCCGCTCCCACGACTTCCGTTGCCTGGGATTTCGGCGTGGACTTACACAGACCGAACATGGCGAAAGCTCGGCTGGCGAGACAACCCTAAACTGGTGGCGCGATATGGCTGCGTGTCAACCACACTTGAGCAAAAATGGCTTGAGCCAAAATGGCTACCGAGTCTCTCTTGGGAGCCTTTGGAAGCCTCGTGAGTTTTTTTGGGCCGTCTTGGGGCAGTCTTGGGGCCCTCTTGAGCCGTCTTGAAACCCTTTTTGGGGCGTCTTGGGCCGTCTTGGGGCGATCTCGGAGGCCTCTTGGGCCGTCGTGAACGCTGCTACGACACAGAAAGCGAATATGCTGAAAATGCTCATTTCCCCAGGGTAATGGGGAGATGCTTGCATTTGGGAGCCCTCTTGAAACGTCTTGAGTGCCTCTTGGGCCGTCTTGGGGGCCTATGGGGCCGTCTTGAAGCCGTCTTGCACTATTTGGGGGCTCTTCTGCGCCTCTTCGACCACTTCTCTGACCGCTTTGGGTCTGCTGGGCAAGGTCCGGGAAGGCGCCCTGGGAGGCGCGGCAGGGCTGGGAGACCTCTTCCAAGGGCGTCCAAGGGGGCCCCAAACCCCGGATCCCGAGGAGTCTGCTTTTGCAGGGGGGCGGGGGGGGAGACCCGCCCCCCTGGCTTGCAAAAATACAAGAAGAGGAATATTTGGTGCAACCTAGCGGAATCTATGCTGCGCAATATGTGTGGTGCATGTTGCAGGCTATGTGGTGCAAGCTACGTGGTGCAATCTATGTATGTAGTGCAGTGTGTAATGTGCAATCGATGTTGTACAATATATGTTGTACAACCTATGTTGTGCCATATGTGTAGTGCAATCGGTGTGGTGCAATCTGTGTTGTGCAAGTCACTTGACGAACTTGAAGTTGTCAACTGCACTGCTCGCGCAATCATCCCACCCACCCACCCGCAACTTGGTTTGCAAAATCTCTTAAGACCGTGACGGTGGGTACCAAATGGCACTTGACAACGACGGCGACGCCGACGACAACAGCGACAACGACGACGACAACGCCGCCGACAACGACTACGACGACACTGACGACGTCTCCAACGACTTCGACGACGCCGACAACGACGACGACGACGACGACGACGACGACACCGACGACGACGACCACGACGACGCCGACGCCGACGACGAAGACGACGATGACAGCGACGACAACGATGACGACGCCGACGACGACGACAACGACGACACCGACGACGACGACGACGACGACGACGACGTCAACGACGCCGACGCCGACGACGACGACGACGACGACGACGGCGGCGGCCACGACGACGCCGACGTCGACGACGAAGACGACGACGACGCCGACGCCGACGACGACGACGAAGACGACGACGACGTCGCCAACGAAGACGACGACGAGGGAGGAGGGAGGACGACGACGGCGACAACGACGACAACGACGACAACGACGAGGGAGGAGGGAGGACGGCGACGACGCGAACGACGAAGAAGGAGGAAGGACGGCGACGCCGACGACGACAACGACGAGGGAGGAGGGAAGACGACGACGACAACGACGACAACGACGAAATAGGAGCGACGACGACGAGACACCGACGACGGACGACGACAACGACGGCGAGGGAGGAGGAGGAAGGACGACCACGGCGACAACGACGACGGAAACGACCACGACGCCAGAGAGGACGACGACGACGAACACGAGGAAAGACAGAGGACGACGTAGGCGACGACGACGACGACGCGGGAGGAGGGAGGACGGCGACGACGACGACGACGACGCAAGAGCGCGCGCGTGCACGCTTTTGTTGAAAATCTGCGTTGCGAAACCTTGTGTTTTTGTAGGTTTCCTGGACACACGATTTTGAAAACCTTCCGAAACCGATGGGTTTTGAAGGATTTCGGCATACGCGCGCGACGACGCGCACGTCTGCACTTAGTCTCATTTTTTGCAGGGGATTATCGCGACGGCGCACGCGCAAGGGCGTTCGACAGATTTCGACATGCGCGCGCGCGAAGCCCGTTTGGTAGCATTTTGTGAAAATCTTGAAAAACCTACGGTTTTCTTAAGATGTCGCAAGAGTTCGCGCGTAAGTTTTGTTAAGCAAATCAGTGTTGCGAAACCCTGTGTGTTTGTATGGTTTTGTTGGGAAACTCGATTCCGAAATCCTTCCGACACATACGGTTTTTGAAAGATTTCGGCATGCACGCGCGACGACGCGCGCGTGCGCACTTCGGCCCAATTTTTTCTTGCAATGGATTCGCGAACAAGTCTTATGCTAGAACAAAAAAATGTCCCCGCGTATTGTTTTGCACAAGGGAACCTCAAGGGGGGCCGATCCCGGCCCCCCGGGAATTGTGCAAATTCATATTTAGGATGGACATGTGGTCAGAATCATATATGATTTACATACCCGAAAAGGGGGGCCGATACGCTGGATGGGGGGGGGGGTGGAGTCGATTCTCTTTTTAGAAAAGGGAATATATGTGGTGCAATCTATGTGGCGCAACTCGCCCTGTCGAACTTGAAGTTGTCAACTCCGCTGCTCGCGCAAACATCCCACCCACCCGCCCGCAATTAGGTTGGCGAAACCCATGCGACGTCGATTATGATGAAAGCTTGGCGTTGGCTGGTGCGTCCTTGCGGCCGCGCTAGCCCACGCATGCTCGCGCGCGCAGCGACCGGCTAGTGTGGCACGACCGATGCGGCCACGGTAGCGCTGACCGCTCGGCAATTCCAACGGGCACTTCAGTGCGAGTCGGTGACTTGGGCGGGCGCGGTATCATGGCGACGCCGGCAACGGGAGACACGATGATGAGAGTAGTGATGGTGATGATGATGACGATGGTGGCGATGACGACGGCAAGGCCAGTGACGGCGCACGATGACGATGTCCTCGCGTGGGTGATCAAGGCTTTGGAAGGAGATCGACATGCGCGCGCGGCCGACGTGCGCGAGTGGTCCACGTGGTATCATTTGATACGGATCATGCCCCCAGCACGGCGTTCGGATGATTTCGACATGCGGCGCGACAGGCCCGTTTGGCAGAATGTGATGACAATGTTGAAAACCGATGGTTTTCTTAAGAATTCGCCGGGTGCGCGCGCAGGCTTTGTTTGAAAACTGATGTTGCAAAGCCATGTGTTTTAATATGTGTTCGGGACACTCCTGTTTACACCTAAGGTGTTTGACGGATTTCGGCATGCGCGCGCCACGACGCGCGCGCGTGCATTTCGTCAAATATCCTGCAAAGGAAAACTGAAACAGCACGCGCGTGATGGCGTTCGAACGATTTCGACACGCGCACGCGAGAAGCCCGTTTGGTAGCATGCTGTGAACATGTTGAAACGCCGATGGGTTTGTTAAGACTTAGCAAGAGCGCGGGCGCATGTTTGGTTTGAAAACCCTCATTGCAAAACCGTGCTTTTTGATAAAAAAAATGTTTTCGGGAAGCTTGATTGAGAATTCGTTACGAAACATCGGGTGTTTGGAAAATTTCGGCATGCGCGCACGACGACGCGCGCTTGTCCACTTCGTCCTATCTGTTGCAAGGAATTCCTCGAAACTGATGATTTGTGATGAACGAATGCGCGCGCAACGCATTTGTTGCAGAGGATGAGGGGGGGGAGGCGAACTCTGGTTGTGCTGGGATGATGCAGACTCATCTTTAGGATGGACGATGGGGCATTATCATATGTAAATTGCGATGCGGGAGTATGTACCGTCAGCCCCGGGGGGGGAGATCCTAATCTGATTTTGGAAAGGATAATCTATGTGGCGCAATCAACGTCGGGGCTGCGACGGCGACAACATAGCCGCCAGACGGACGGCGACGAGGCGGCGACGGGGGGCATGGAGCCGCCAGGCTGGACCGGCACACGGGCCCAGTTCTCATCATAATCCCACACAGGCACAGCTCCTTAGAAAAACAAGCAAGGCTCCCGAAGTGCAAGCACGGCTTTGGGGGATATAATTGGTTGTCAACGTTGTGCAAGCACTGCGGGGAAACAGTGGCAACAAATGCAAGAAGTGCAAGCTTTGTGGGGAAATATGGTTTTGGGCAATAAGTGCAGGCACTGTGGGGAAACAAATGGTTGCCCGTTTCTCGGCATCTGGAGGCCCTCGCAAGGCCCCAGGACCGAAATAACGGCTGAGGATAAAAAGCCGGCCGGTCGGGACTCCCGGGAGCCCCGCATCGAGAAAAACTCATCCATGCATTGGATCTCTGGGCAAGTACTTTTTTGATCTGTGGCTCCAAAGAAGATTCCAGAGAGCGGGTCGAACAAGCTTGGGGCAGCAAGCAAGATAATTGCCAGCGGGCCAAAAGCCAACGCCGGAATGCACATGCGAGGAACAAAATGAACCTCATTAAACCGCTCCAAAACGGCAGCCAACGACTGACAGCGGGGCGTCGCACAATGGCGCCAGCACCCGGCAGACCGGACGGCGAAGGGCAGGGCACAGCGGGCATCTGCAACCCTGGCACGCCCGCCCGTGAAAGTGCAGCGCAGGCGAGCAGAATGGGGGCAAGGCCTCACTCTCTGGGCAAGTACGCGCAGCCGACAGAAAGCCGCACCCTCCCGCCCCCGGTCTCCGACGCCGTGGCTTGGGCGCGAGAGCGCGCCTCCCCGCCAGCTCTCCCTCGGGACTGGCTTCCCATCCCGAGCCGCTGCTTGACCGTCTCTGGGGCCAGGGAGGGGGCCCGCAGAGGCCATCCACTGAGCAGCACCGCCCGTGGCGAGTTCGGCGAGGGCGCGAGGAGGCCAGGGCCCTCAGCAGACGTCATCGTCGCGCTGCTTTCCTGAACTGGCGCTGCGCCCCCCCTCCCTGGCGCACGGAGCGCGGCGCCGGAGGCGCCGCCACGGGTGGCCCAGGTCCGCGCTCACCGTCGCTGGGCGCTGCCTGGTGGGGGGCCCATGGCCAGGGGGGCAAACGACAGGCGCACCTTTCGCACACCTCTTGCTCTCCAGAGGGCCCCTCGAGGGCCACGAGGGCGCACGAAAGGTGCACCTCTCTTCGCGCTCCCCCTCTCGTCGGCCCCCGGGGCGCGACGCCCGACTCCAGGATCTGAGGGCCCTTCCCCTTGCTTCGTGCCCCCCTCCGGCACCAGCGACCCCTTTGAGGCCCGGGCG